TATAGTCCAGTTCATTCAATCATCCGTTTATGTTGTCCATTTAATTCTTTCCTAATATTTCCTGATTCATAAAATCATTACCCATGCATAGTCCATTTTGAATCCATTTGGGGGTTTCTTAAACTGAGGGATCCCCAAAACCATGGGTTTCAATACTAAAACGCTTTAATGACTTGGATGATTTCGGGGTACCTCCATTTTAGGAAACCTCATATGTATATTTCATTGAATTGTTCCACTCCTGGGAAAGTTCGTTCGACAGGAGCGCACCGCCGTGACGCTGCTTGGGCGTCAACTGCGACAGCGTCGGCAGCTGGTGAGGGTCACTGCACAGCAGTGTCGTGAGGCTGGGATTGGGCGTTCCACAGAGGGTTGGTCAATGTTTAAGAATCATTTTTGTGGATTGTAATGGATTCTACTGGAGTTTGATGGATGTCATATAACATCATATAACATTTCATAGATGCTCATGGATTTTAATGGATTTTACATGATGAATGTCCAATTTCAGATCCACTGACTGGGGATCTTTGTGACCTGACTTTTTACGGCGGCGAGCCAGGTGACGGCCTGCTTGCGGCGTTGTGCCAAGGTGCCACAGCCATGATCCAACGGTCAAGGCAAACGAGGTGATACCCTGTGATGCAGCTTCTGGAGGTCGACCACTGGTTTGACACTTGAGACCCTCTGGTTATGACTAACAGTTCGCCATGGTTTTTCGATGGCCCATAGAAATAGATGGTTTACCTATTAATAGCATGGTGATTTTCCATGGCTACAGTTAAATAACCAGATGGTATCAGGTTCTACTATTATCAAAGGAAGTTTAGGGGGAGAAACTTCCGTGTTACGGACTTTTAGAATGTCAGGGAAAGAGTTAGTCAAAGAAAGAGTTAGTGAGAGAAAGAGTTAGTTAGAGAAAGAGTTCATCAGGGAAAGAGTTAGTCAAAGAAAGAGTTAGTTAGAGAAAGAGTTCATCAGGGAAAGAGTTAGTCAAAGAAAGAGTTAGTGAGAGAAAGAGTTAGTGAGAGAAAGAGTTAGTTAGAGAAAGAGTTCATCAGGGAAAGAGTTAGTCAAAGAAAGAGTTAGTGAGGGAAAGAGTTAGTTAGGGAAAGAGTTAGTCAAAGAGGGGGATGGAGGAGTTAGTGAGAGAAAGATTTAGTGAGAGAAAGAGTAGTTTTATATACGAAGTTCATTCGGGAAAGCGTTAGTCAAAGAAAGAGTTGTTGACGAGAAAGAGTTCATCAGGACAATTTAGTCAAGAATGAGTTAGTGAGAGAAAAGAGTTTAGTGAGAGAAAGAGTTAAGTTAGAGAAAGAGTTCAATAGGGAAAGAGTCAGTCAAAAAAGAGTTTGAGAGACAAGATTGTCATCATGGAAATGATTGTCAGAAAAGAGTTAGTGCTAAATAGAAAGATTTAGTGAGATAGAACGGGAGGTTAGTTTAGAGAAGGTCATGGCAGGGAAAGAGTTAGTCAAAGAAAGAGTTAGTGAGAGAAAGAGTTCATCAGGGAAAGAGTTAGTCAAAGAAAGAGTTAGTGAGAGAAAGAGTTAGTGAGAGAAAGAGTTAGTTAGAGAAAGAGTTCATCAGGGAAAGAGTTAGTCAAAGAAAGAGTTAGTGAGAGAAAGAGTTCATCAGGGAAAGAGTTAGTCAAAGAAAGAGTTAGTGAGAGAAAGAGTTAGTGAGAGAAAGAATTAGTTAGAGAAAGAGTTCATCAGGGAAAGAGTTAGTCAAAGAAAGAGTTAGTGAGAGAAAGAGTTCATCAGGGAAAGAGTTAGTCAAAGAAAGAGTTAGTGAGAGAAAGAGTTAGTGAGAGAAAGAGTTCATCAGGGAAAGAGTTAGTCAAAGAAAGAGTTAGTGAGAGAAAGATTCATCAGGGAAGATTTAGTCAAAGAAAAGAGTTTAGTGAATAGGAAAGAAGTTAGTGAGAGAAAGAGTTAGTTAGAGAAAGAGTTCATCAGGGAAAGAGTTAGTCAAAGAAAGAGTTAGTGAGGGAAAGAGTTAGTTAGGGAAAGAGTATTGTAACTTAGACTGTCAGGGAAAGAGCTAGTCAAATGAAGAGTTAGTGAGGGAAAGAGTTAGTTAGGGACAGAGTTAATTGTAACTTTTAGAATGTCAGGGAAAGAGTTAGTCAAAGAAAGAGTTAGAATGGCATTGCAAGTGGTGCTGGTGGAGGAGTTGCCGATGGAGTTTTGGAGGAAGTCTCGCACGAAATGCGTTTTTGAGAGATAGCAGATGCACGAAACCCTATGTTTTTCCATACAAAGTGTGTCCCCGAACCTCGATGATCTACCTCTGCGGTGCGACGGGTGCGAGACGGTCTCGTGTGTGGTCGGATCATGATCGGATCATGGTCGGATCGGTCTCGGATCGGTTCCGCATTGCAAATGGGGTTTCAACTGTGTTTCGTCTATGTGCGGTCGACAGAATTCCATTGTGATTTGCAACTGTAGGATCGTTCCCGCAATGTAAATGGGATTGCAAGTGGCGCTGGTGGATGAGTTGCCGATGGAATTCCATTGTGATTTGCAACTCTAGAATCGTTCCCTCACTGTAAATGGGATTGCAAGTGGTGCTGGTGGATGAGTTGCCGATGGAATTCCATTGTGATTTGCAACTGTAGGATCGTTCCCGCATTGTAAATGGGGTTGCAAGTGGTGCTGGTGGATGAGTTTCTGATGGAATTCCATTGTGATTTGCAACTCTAGGATCGTTCCCTCACTGTAAATGGGATTGCAAGTGGTGCTGGTGGATGAGTTGCCGATGGAATTCCATTGTGATTTGCAAGTCTAGGATCGTTCCCTCCCTGTAAATGGTTGCGTCAAGGTTCCTTCGTGCTGTGGCTGCATTGCATTGGTAATACTATTGTCTTTTGCAGCTGGACTTCGTAAATCGTATTGGATTGGCTGCATGAAGGCTGCCACAGTGATTTGTTGGCAGATTTTCTCCATTGTGGCGCTAGTGAATTTCCTTCTAAAAATTCTTTTAAAAAGTGCTTCAAAATCGTCTTTTTTTCGCTCTGGCGTCGAGATCCGGTTTTGGAGCTACAATTTCCGACGCCGTTGTGCGTAGTTCTATTGTGTTTTGCAACTCTGCCTCTGCAGATCGCATTGTAATGGCTGCGTCAAGGTTGCTTCGTGCTGTGGCTGCATTCGTAATACTATTGTCTTTTGCAGCTGGATCTCGTAAATCGTATTGGAGTGGCTGCATCAAAAGGATGTGCGGAGGATATGGGTTTTTGAGCTAGGCCACTGGGTTTTAACAAAACGTTAAAAACGGCGATTAGTGCAGCTCATGGGTTTTGAAAAGGTAAAAAAACCATGGCACCGGGTGGCAATCCTAATTATGTTCGCAAACGCTCATCAAGAAATTGTTTGATTCATCAAGAGTAAAACCAAATAATTTTTGCGTATACACAGCCTTGGCAGCAAAAAAAATCTATTAGTGAATCTCAAACTTGCGCTGGCTGATTCGATAGTAAACATGGAAAGTCGCATGTTGAACAGCCGCTCCGTCGTGCATGTCTTTGCAGGATGCCGTTGGCTCCTTCAGCTTTCCGTTTGCAGGATGCCTTTGGCTCCTTCACTTTCCGTTTGCAGGATGCCTTGAGCTCCTTTTGCAGGATGCCTTTGGCTCCTTTTTTTTTTCAGGACGCCTTGGTCTCCTTTCTTAGAGGGAAATTCTGAGATTTGTACTCACGGACACCTATTGTTCTTCTGGCAGTCAGCTGGCTTCTTGTTTGGACCTGCGGTGAGCAATCATGGTCTCGGTTGAAACTTTTGTGATTCAGCCTTTTTTGGTTGAGATTCCAATGCCTCCTGTGATGAAAAGAAGGAGTGATTTCTTACTTGTCATGAAGTTGCTTGAGTCAGGAAGACATGCGAGGCATTGGCAATCAAGCTGCTTCCTAGTTGCTGCGCCTTTCACCATTTTGACCGCCTGTCGTGTCTTAGTATTAAGTTTGTTTATGAAGCATTTGTACATTATATGTTTTGTCTTGCAGTTCCGGGGGATTCAGAAAAGAAATCACCTTATGTCATGACCGATGACTTTCATCTAGTTAAATCGTGAGGAAGTTGCATCGGCAAGAGTCTGGATTAATGAATGTGAATTTGTGGGCCTTCATGCCACCAACCTGTCTTGATACTATGTGGTTTGGAAACGGCACCAGGATAATTGAATCATAAATACTTGTCGTGCCGTGAACTGCTCATGGCCGTTCCCATCCATTTTGCCGGATTTTTTTTTAAAGCCCTGATGCAAGATATTATTTAATGTCTGAAGAATTCGGTGTGGTTTTTGGCGCTGGGCGTGTGAACTGGCTGTGGTCTGTAATGTCTAGCCTCAACTAACCATGGGCAAGATAATGCAAAGCAACTGGCAATGTATTTGATTTGGCTTTGAATTACAATAATCTTTTCCAAATATGATAGCCGCTGGTGCCTAGCTGTGGATGCGCTGCTTCTAGTGGCACGGGCGCGTTGCCAGACTCATGAACTATTCCTATCGGTGAGTGTCGTGTCTGTTCATCAAAGCTTCGGAAAGATAATCCATTTTTCGATTGGCAACATCGCTTGGAATTGCAATGAATAAGAAGCAACGACCACTTCCGGCATAATTATGAAAAAAGGCGATCCGTTGATGATGTTCATTTGGATACTGTTTGACATCTTTTTGGATCATCCTCCTGATTGAAGGAAATTCACAACATCCTGGTCCTTAGATAGGTTTCAAATGCATGGCTGTATCAATGATGTCTCATGTTGCAGGAAGCCTCTCGGAGGCTCTTCTACTTACTGTATTTGCAGGAAGCTGTATGCTCCTCAGTCCTGTCTGATTTACTTGCAGGAAGCTTCAAGCTCCTCATGACAGCCGAAGCATGACTAATTTTCAGTCTGACGGTTACTGTCAAAGTCATTTGTTTGGTCAAGACCAGCAGACATAAAACCAAGATCCATTTTCGCAGCGGTCTGGTTTCAAAAAAGTCAAGCATCACAAGGATGGCTTTGCGGCGCGCCAATGCCATGGACATTGACCTCCCCAGTGAGGGTGAATCTGTGGTTAGTCTACCCTCCCAAGACGACTCTGGGAGTGATGCTGAAGTAGAAACGTCTTGGATTTGCAGTTGCAAGACTGCGTGCGTCAAGCCCGGCAGTGATTTGCTGAACTTTTGCAAAGTCACACGCGAAAGCTTGCAGAAGCTTGACCGGGAGCTGCACCGGAAAAGGGTTTGGCTCATGTTGCGTGAGCTGCGTGTCTACAAGAAGGTGGAGCGCGGGTACCAGCTGATGGACACACCTGTGTGCCGGAGGATCTTTCAGAAGGCTTGCTGCGTGGGGCATACCACAGTGAAGCAGTTCCTCAAAACTGTTCACCTTGATGGTCCTCCGCCTGATGCCAGGAAACGTGGGCTCCATTGCCACGCCAACCTGACAAAGATGACACCCGAGCAGCAAGATGTCTCCAAGTTTTTCTACCACGCCTGGTCCAACTACGCCATGCACATCCCCACTGAGCTCGGAGCAGATTCGGAGACTCCTCGTGCTGTGCAAATTTGTGTTGAGGAAGAGCTGGAGGATTGCGAGGAGGACAGTCAGAAGACTTTGCGCCTCGATGATGTGAAGGCAGAAGACCTTGGTCCAGATTCCGCTTTGACAGTGGATGGCAAGCGCTACTTGCCGCATATGTCTTGGCAGGAATTCTATGAGATGTATGCAAATTGGAGTGAGAAGCCCTGCCATCGCACCAGCTTCAAGCGCTACTATGATGAGTCTGAGTGGAAGACCAAGCTCAAGATAGCTGATTCCCAACACCATGGGAAATGCACGACATGCGAGAAGTTGAAGATGATGAGAAGCAAGGCTGTCTGTGAGACCCAGGCAAAACAAATCTCCGAGGCACACAGCCAGCATGTTGCGAGTGTCATGGACGATCGACAAGCCGATACCATCGCAGAACAGATGGGTTGGAACTCCACGGTCCCCGGCGCCAAGGGCTATGTGTATGAAAGGAGCCTGCTGAATTGGACACAGGACGGAATGGATCAGGCGAAGTTCAAAGTTCCGAGGAACTTTGAAATGGCCAAGACGCTGCAGGACAGCTGGCGACCTCAGATATCATGCCATGGCGTGACAGTCGATGGCGTTGGCAAGTTCTTGTTTCTTGCAGATATGGATGTTGGTAAGGGTGGAGATGTTCAAACCACGGTCACGGCCAGAGCCTTGGAAGCTGCTTGCTTTAAATTCTAACATTCCGTTTTTGTTTAATGTGGCGCAATAATTTGTGACTGTGCATTTCTTCCGCCTTCCTAGTTAATACATAATATATATTAATATATAAACATTCTTCAGATCCTTGAGCCATGCAGATCAGGTTGTGAGTGAGCGCCTTCGTGAACGTGGATTGTCGATGCCGGCGCACTGGAGATGCGTCAGTGACAACGCCAGCTCCGAATCCAAGAACAACACCCTGGTCAAGTTCATGGCAGTGCAAGTTGCTTTGGGGCATGTCAACTCTGTGACCATGGCTCAGGGCCGGGTTGGCCACACGCATAACCGGCAAGATGCTGCCTTTTCGCAGGTGGCTGTTTCCTTGAATAGAGCCAAAGTCTTGGAGGATCCTGAATCCTTTCGGCACCAGATTCTGCAGACCTTGCCTGGTTACCACGTTGAGCTCTTGCATGGGGCAGAAAACTTTCGAGCGTGGCTGCATCCTCTGGGTGCGAAAATGAGTGGCCTCAATCAAACCGCTGCAGCCACCAAGAACAACATGGAAGCCATTCATTGCTGGAAGCTGGTTCGCCGAGACATGTTGCCGAAGGATTGGCAGGAACAAATTGAAACGCCAGACTGGCTGAAGCATTTGGATCCGCATGGCAGAGATGTCATTCTTCTTCCAAAGCTGTACATGGCAAGCCGATCCTTGAGCCAAAGCCCGTTGATGTTCATGTCCAGAAGTTGCCACCGAGGCCTCAAAGTGACCCCGTTCCAAGGGTGCCATTCTCCATCCGGCAAAGCCAAGAATTTCTCAAGACCGCAGCGCTGATGAAGGAATGGGGCTACCAGTGTGCATGTGAATATTTGCAGACCTTGGATTCTGGACGTGACATTTAAGAACTCACTGTTTTTGTTTTTGCTTTCGCCCTACCGAAACTCACCTTCCCTCCTGGGTTAAAAGGTGAGTCACTCCGGTGGCCGGGAGTGGGGCTCTTAGGGAAGAGAGTCGCGCCAACACTGTGGTAAGACAGTTTCTAGATTGAAACTTGCAGTGTTGGTTTGCCTTGGGGCCAACGCGTTGACGGAGGGCAACGCATGACACTAGAGCGATGGGCTAATGCGTCTAGTGGGGCACAAGCGACCTTCCCTAAGAAAGCACGGGAGGCCATATTATTTGTTGTTTCCCTGTTAAGGTTCGAAAAAATATTTAGGTTTGTTTTTTTGGGTTTCCCCCTATGATATAATTGTTTCCGATATTAAATGTTTGCTTCCCCATATAATAGATGTTCCATCCCGAGTTGTTTACTGTTATAGGTCTGCTGGATAATGAATTTGGATTTGACGATTTTGAAACCTAATGTTTGCTCAAAGCAAGACTTTTTCCGATAAAGACTCTCACAAGAGCTAAGGTCGAAAACAACAAGGCAAAGAAATCTCTGTCATGGAAGTGCCCGGACATTCAGTTCGTGTTTGCAGGCATGGATACGGCTGCGAAGCCTGGGCCTGACGTTGATTTGGATGACCAACTGTCATTTGCCTTTGTTTTCACACAGCCCTTGGGTCTGAAGGTATTGAAAGATGCTGGGCAGCTGCAGCCTCGTCGAATCGATGAATCCTCTGCTGTCCAAGGAGCGCCGCAGGGCCATGCTGTGTTGGAAAAAGGAGCTCCTCCAGGACAGCACGTTGCTGCCGCCCCAGCTGCGCCTGCAGCCGTGCCGGTTCAGCCCAAAGCAAAGGCAACAGCCAAGGCATCGCCTAAAGGACGAGGGCGCGGCCGAGGTATGCGGCGGCCTGCTGCTGCTTCGGAAGCTATTGGATCAGCTGGTCAACCTGATGAGGCACAACCATCTGCTGCAGTGCCTGGTGTCGTCGTTGGTGGCAAGCGCCGCCGGATCTCTGTTCCTGAAGGTGTAGCGCTGGGATGTGGAAAGTGTAAGCAGGACGCATTTGGCTGTACCACCTGCCGTCCAAAGGCAGGCCTGGTCGAAACCAGCAAAGGCGTTTGGGTCAAGAAGGACTGAGTGGGGTCGCGGTAGTTTTGGTCAAGCAAGGCCGGAGTCTATGATGGAATGCTTTTAAAAGTAGTCACGCTCATGACGCCATTGTTTTCCCCTATGTATGGCTGGTGCTTGATTCTTGCCCTCGAGCGTGTGATGGAAACGCCATCATTTGTTCTGTGACCTAATCCTTGAATCCATGACTTTTGGAAGAAGCAAAGGGGGAAGGCCTCAATGGAAATAGTGTCCATTAACCTAAACGACAGTGATTGGGTGGTCATATCAAACTGTATGAACCTGTTTTCATTCTTGAGACCCGGCTCTCATGCTGATTCAGCCAGACATGACCAACCGAAAGCTTAAAAATGGAGCTTCGCCACTGATCAGTCAGATTTGCTTGCCAGTGACTGAAACAGATTCGTCTTCACTGGCCTGTGCGTTTGAAAGCCAAACAAAACAAAATGCCTGCATTAATGGTTCAGGCTTAAAATATTAGCTTCCCGGACCCGCAGCCAGGGCGGCGACTTATTCAATTCGGTGCCATGAGTGACCACATTGAGGATGTGGATGCGGTCATGCAAATCATCCACTCGGATGACCAAGTTGACATCTCCGAAGTCTTTAGTCGCCCGCGGCTTGTCCCGCGGTGTGCTGCTTTCCATTTGATCGGAGGTCAATCCTTTGATTGGAAAGATGATTCAGAGATGGATCTGGCTGGTGTGAATGGCAGGGCGACAGTCTGGGCTCATGTCAACCTGTATGAGCCTAAGGTGTTGATGCTCTCGCCTCCCTGCACATTGTACAGCCAGTTGATGCAATTGTGGGGCAGGAAATCGATGGGGGAGACAAGGTATCAAAGCAGGCGGCTTGAAGCTGGCCGACTTTTGTCCTTCAGCGCCGAGCTTGCCAATCACCAAAGGCAACATGACCGGCACTTCATTCTGGAACATCCAGATGGCGCCAGTTCCTGGGAAGAAGATTGTCTGGCTGCACTTAGCACCCAGCCAGGAGTTTTCCTTTCCCGTTTCGATCAGTGCAGATTTGGGCTGCGTTGCCCGTACACCCAAGAACCTATCAGGAAAAGGACACGATTGGTCCACAACATCCCTGAAGTCGATGCTATCTTCAACAACCAGTTCTGTCTTTGTGAAGAGCCCCACCGACAGATCCAGGGTGCTGAGGGAGGCATCCAGATTTCATCGTTCTGTGAAACGTATCCTCCCCAAATGGTTGACGCCTTGCTTTCTGGCGTCCAGGCCGCAATTGGTGTACAGATTGTGGACTGAGGGTTTCATTGCACCTGGTCCGAAAGAAAAAATGATGCTTTTACCTTGCAGGACGCGTTTCAGAAGCTCCTAGCCAGGGCTAAATTCACAGGACGCCTTCCTTAAGAAGAGCTCCTTTTTGCAGGATGCCTTTGAGCTCCTTTTGTAAATATGCAGGATGCCGTCCTTAAGATGGCTCCTTGGATTTCTCACAGCAGCTGCATGTTGAGTGTCTCTCCAGCTTCTCTGGAAGTAAATGAATTTGTCTGGGATAATCCGAACACACATATGATAGACTGCTGGTCTGATGTTACATTTTTTCATGATGCCGGGACATTTGATGGGGATGAAAATTTCAAAATCAAAAACCACATGTTGATTTGTTGACCTATTTGGTACAACTTGGTCTGCTAATGCTATACTTGACAAGTCATAGTAAATACTCAGTGTCTGGCCTCCGGCGCTGGGTAATACAATCCAGTGCCTGGCTTCCGGCACTGGATTGTTATTAAGTGGATTGATGAACTAGCCAAATCCCATACTTCATTGCATTTGTTCATTTCAAAATATATTTAATTGATAAGTCATAGGATATACTCAGTGTCTGGCCTCCGGCACTGGGTAATACAATCCAGTGTCTGGCTTCCGGCACTGGCTACTACCTAACAAAATAATAAGTTAATGCTAAAAACATGTGTAAGTGTATGTTATTCATGGCGGGGTGCACTGGCCATACTGCTTCAAATATACTTTGCAACTGCTAAGAGAGGAAGCATCTTTTGCACCCAAATATATCTGGAAGTGGGCTTAGTAATACAAGCGCATTTGTCATTCGATTCTTTTGATTCATCAGAGCATGTCCGGTCCAAGAGACATTCAGCAGCTTCAGTGGCTCCAGCCAATTTCACTGAAGAAATATGAACCAAACTTTTCTTTCATTCATTTGTCTACTCTTCCTTTGCTTTGCCTGTGTCTGTTTGGGACCACCTGGCCGGAAAAGAGATTGCACTGCAACTTGGCATTTCTCAAAGCTACTTGGACCCAAAAAAAGACTCCGGTAAATTTTCTCGTCCAGACAAGTGTTTTAACTTCAAGTTTTTCCCAAGGAAATCTTCTAGCTGTCCTTTTTGCAAAGCGCTCTCATGGCACTATTCCATAAGTTGAAAGCAAAAATTGACCGCAGTCATCAATACTTCTTTAGCGGCAGCAGAAAGATATTTGCTGAGCGGTTCTCAGTCAATAGATTGGAGCGTCCAGAGACTACCTTCAGGTGCCTTGCTGCAGCTTCATGGTTTGTAACAATAAAAATCAGTCTCTGCTGGATTGGAGCTTTGGGCCTGCTATAATAGGGAGTTTGTTTGATTTTTAATTAAGCACGCGAAGACGCGAAGATGGATAATTGCTGTGAAGTCGACTACGTTTTTTCCGTACCTGAGATCGCGGCATTTCTGACGAAATGCTGTGATCTCTAATTAAAAACGAGCTCCTGCTGTGAAGTCCACTACTTTTTTGTAGGTGACTTCGCGGTAAATGCTTGCAAGCAAATTGAGATCGCAGCATTTCTGACGAAATGCTGTGAAGTCGTATACGTTTTTTTTGTAGCTTACTTCGCGGCAAATTCTTGTTTAGCGCTATTTTAATCCCCCATAGAAAAAGTATTTCTCTGCGCTGGGGACCTCCATAGATTGTGAAGAATGTTCTGCTTGCCGTGGTAGTGCCAAATGATAGCCAGGGAGAGAAATAAATAGAACCTGTACTCTTCAAAACGTCCACCTCAAAAAGATTTTTTTCTTACAGTTGCATAAAAAGTTATGCAGAAGCTGATTCCAGTGATCCAGCTATGGAAAAAAAGATGCAGGTTTTCCCAATTTGGAAAAAAAAACACCAAAGAATTTGACATTAAAAATATGCCGAGAATTTCATACTGCACGCAATTAATAGCATGTGTTCCACTAAGTAGTGTTCTAATAACCGACCAAAACAAGGAAAAACAAAGTCAAGCGTGATTATATATATATATATCCCCTTCTAATGATTTCCCCAATTGTTTTCTTCCAGAGAAGCCATGCATGTGGCATGTGACAGTGAATGCAATGTTTTGCTCTCTGCTGAATTTTTTAGGGGGGGCTCATGACGAAACATGGCAGCAAGTTCAAAAGCAGCAAGTTCAAAAGTTCAAAACTGAGAAATAAATCACAAGTTCAAACGATGTTCAAATGTGACAGACACAGCTGCTTTAACTTCCTGCACCACTCGGGGCCATGGCGGGTGACCGCCGGGCGCTGCGCCACTTGGCAAATTCGTTGTTAGAGGTGTTGGAGCAGGATGAAAGGAATGCAGCCACGGCCTCTATAATGCAAGCTATGGCGGCACACCCCATGATGATGGGGCAGGGTGGGCTCCTGCCTGGAATGATGGCGCCTGGTGGAATGATGGCGCCACCGGCAGCAAGCGGAATGGGCTTGCCGTGGCATCCAGGAATGGTTTGGCATCCTGCAATGATGCGCCCTGTTGCTGGTGCGATTGCGCCACCTCCTCCCACTGGTCCTCGTGGGCCGGTGATCACTCCAATCATCGAGGAACCGCCAGACGATGCTGCTCCAACCACACCGTGCCCTGCCCCTCGTTTTCCCATTGCCACGCCTCCTATGGCTCCCCCAATGATGATGCCAAGACCTGAGCTCCTCATGAGACCGCCTGTCACTGTTGCAGAAACACCAGCTCCAAGGCCGCCTGTACCTAGCCCGCCTTCTGAGGCTGCTGCTGCGGCCATGCCTGCTGCGACAGAAGCCACCGAGCCAACCCCTGCTGCTGACGGTGCTGAACCCAAGGCCGCTGGACCAGGAGTGGAAGCATTGCGCCCCGGTGATGATTCGCCGGGTGTGACTAGCAAAGCCAGCAGCGCAGCTGCTAGCCGTCGGCCTCGGTCACCGAGTGGACCACCACCACCAAGGCCACCGAGCCGGCCACCTTCAAGGTCTTTGCCTGCTCCTGTGGATCCGATTCGAGTGGCCCGGTACAGGGAGCGCCGTTCTAGCGGCGGGTCCATGGGAAGCCCTTCTGCGGGCAGTAGCTGGTCAACGGTCAACCTTTATTTTTTTAAGACTTGATTTTTTCTTTGAGTGACTGCGTTTGGCCACATGCGAAGTAATGATATGGCATTAATGTATAAACCTGCCAATGACTTTGCGCCCAGGCCTGCATCCTGATCCTCGGGCGGCTCCTTCTTCTCCCTCCAGGTCCAGGTCCCGGAAAAAAAGACGACGAGGAAGCAAGGGCAAAAAGCGAAAGGAGTGGTATGCAGAACGTCACCCGGAAGGCGTGCGTCCAAAGCCGCCACCGCGTCGTGATGACGATGAAGATGGCCCCGGGGACTAAATTTAAGTCTTCGCTCCCATTTTATTTCTACTTCCTCCATCATAGTTGTCAACCTTTTTTCCCAGATTTTCCAGGGAGCACTTAATAACATTAATGCCAAGCTCAGGCCCTGGCCCTATGGGCGGCTCTGGCACTGGAATCGCTGCGTAAATCGCTGATGGCTGCTTCTTCCGATGTCTGTGAAAAGGAGCTGCGTGGCGTGACCAGCTTGTCTGCAGGATGCACTTTTGCTCCTTTCATTTTTTGCAGGATGCCTTGTGTGCTCCTAGAATCAAACATGTCAATCGCAGTTGCAGGATGCCTAAAAATTATGGCTCCTCATTTGCAGGATGCATCATTTGCTCCTCTGGTCTATCATTGTGCTTCTCCCCGCAATTATAG